TTTATTTGCAATGTTAAATAACTAACATCAATTACTTATATAAACCAAATATTCTCCGGAATAAGTATTCATTTTTTAGCTTGTTGAGAATACGTCAAATTGAGGAGTCTAACAGCTAAAAGATGATACAGAACGACTTATACATATATACTAGTTTGCAGATTTTAAGAATTGCACTATTATATAATAATTACCAGACTAACGAATATTATCTCTGCTAAATCGTCAGCTGAGATTATTAGATATATTATATTTAACGTATTATATTTTAATGCTTTGAATTTATATAATTTGGACGCAATTATATATTTAAACTTTGTCTTTCGAAGAGCAATATACCGTTATGTAACAATCGTTAAAGCACAAGGCTTAAAATAATTATTAAATTATTACTCATTACGATATTATTGGAATTTGTTGTTATTACGATAGTTATTGTTGAGGCACAGTCTGTAATTATTCGTGCAATTTTGATGTCTATTTTATGTAGCCGTTTTAGAAATATTTCACATTTTCTTGTAATTTTTTCTATCACTGAATATTAATTGATAAATCTCGATTGTTATTATGCTAACAGAAATATTTTTGTCAGCATCGTTATATATAAAGATACTATATAAAAATTTTTCATTTCAATTGCGAGGAAATTATAAGCACAAAATACATAATAGTTTTTCTATCAAAATACACTTTTAACGACGATTTCCAAAGAAATAATTTATTAACGCACACACTTAAAAATTAATTGATCCAAAAAATAATATTAACGCTGACGATGCGCCAAATGTATAGAGGCCTCAATGCAACCATTTTCCTCAAATTAGATAAATAAACGACTACTCGTAAGATCTTTTTTATAGGGCAAAACATCAGATCGATAACGATTTACTTCCGACGTTGAAAGTAATATTTCTTTTAACGATAAAAACAGTTGTCAATGAATTCTCAACGAAATCAGAAATCATCCGTTTGTTCAATTCTCTTTTTGGAATAACGATTTTTTGTAGACAATGTTAAGAGAGCACAAAGAATCTGACGTGCTTTTCTATCAATTTTGTAAGTGTTATTATTATAAATTATATAAAACGACAAATCTTATATAAAAATAAAATATTAAGTAAAAATTAAGTAATTAAATTGTTCTTATATAAATTGTTTCACGTAAAATGTCAATTAACTTTGCGGATCTTGGACATTAAATGTTATATCTATTGACATATTTATTGTTCTAAAAATTAAATATTATATACTTATATAAAAATTAA